ATTAAGATAAACTTACCCGATTTATTTAAACGGGTAAGTCTATCCTGTATATCGTGAGGGTTCTACACAAAGTTTCAACATGCTTGTTTGATTTGCTGAATTTTTTTTTTTTTTGAATTCAAATTTGTTTTTATCAATTGACAAATTTGGTTTTATCACCGCCCCCTTGCTTTCCAGTCATGCTACCCCTCCCTTGCTTTCCAGTCATGCCACCGCCTCACTCGCTTTTCAGCCATGCCACCTACTCCTTTGCTTTCCAGTCAAGGCTTACTTAAAATATTATAAGTAGATAGGGTATATAGACAATTTTTTAATATAGACAAATTTGCACCTTTCCAAAAACTCGATGGAAATTTATTCGGTTTTAATTTTTTTCGTGAATATTTTCGGTTGTGTAATAAATTTCTCAAATTTGTTCTAAATTGAAATTCAAGATTCAGTTGAATCATAGGACGCCATTTAATGAATAGTAAAAAAGTTTAAATGATTCAAATTTTTTGCTCATAGGTTGTATATTTATACTCAAAATGCTTAAATCTTTATTTATTTTTACTTTCAGAAATTTTCAGAAAATTAAAAAACCGCATTCACTTGTATTAGTTTTTAAATTTTCTAAAAGAGGAATTATCATTCTAGTTTGTTATTTTTATTGTTAAGTATTATTTTTGAACTCATATTGTATTAAATAAAACTCATATTGTCTTTAAATAAAACATAATATAACAATTGGAATGAAAGTAGAAAATGTAAGAAAAAATAAATTACTTCTTTGCACCGATTTCGCTTTTGTTAAATATTTCTCTCACCACTAAGCGATTATATATTACCTTCGTATATTTTCCGTTACGTCTCTGGATTTTTGCAAATAGTTCTTTTCGAATTCTTGTTGTTTCTTCGCTAAAGTCTTTATTTATGTATATGTTTTTTTTCCTTAAGTTTATGCGCCCTATATAAAATAGCCTCTTTATCGTACCAATTAGCACATTTGAATTGATAAATACAACCAAAGCTGCCAGTCACGAGTTGTACGGTATCAAGACGGACCACATTACAATGTAATACTATCAATATGATACTACCAGTAATGTTTTTTACAACACAGAGCAGAGAATAAGTGTGCTAAAGTTTATGGCCAGAAAACTCACTTGTCTGTGTAAACTTTAATACACACTTAAGGACAAACTTCCATTGCCATGTTATTATTGCCAAGTCATTCTATTATGTATATGCACAGAATACAAAGGCTAAACCAATTTTAAAAATATTGATCATTACGAATTTAAAAGCTTTTTTTTCAAATTTTTTTGGTCAATTTAATGAAACAGCGAAAGAATACCAATTCAAGACTTTTTTAAACGAATATGGACAAAAACTCGAACAAACTTGATCTAACAGAAATATTACACTATGTAACACAATTTTTGTTCCTGGGTTTTTAGTGTTATATTTCAATTGCTTATGTCTAAAGTATGTAAAAAATGACTTCATTAAGCACAAAATTTGCTAACACGAAAACAGCACAAAGAAAACTCGTTTTTTTTTTTGTGAAAATAGAGCTATTTTGTTTCATTTATGATCGTCATTATGATCAGGTATAGACAAACACAGTTGGAAACCACTCAACAAAGTTAAAAAATGTTTAGATTTTCTAGATTTACGATTGTACTGTGAAACACTCTCTCGAATTAGATCCCAAATGTAGTCCCCCATCATGTTTTCCTTATACTGTTCTCGGTAATGACATTCAAAGTCTAATATATCTTGCCTTGCTTTGCTCCTCAGGCTAAACGTCTATGTTCTCCTTAAATTTGCGAGATCCGAAACAATGATTTGGACTTTCAGAGACATTCTGCATCTACAATTTTTTGAGAATCTGCACCAACTCCACATAGTTTTCAGCTTTGTGATTACCTAGAAAGCCCTGAACAACTGCAACAAAACTACTCTAAGCCGCACTCTCCGTCCTGTTCAATAGGTTTGCAAATCGTCACATTCTATGAAATTTTTGATCTGTGGTCCAAAGAACATGCTACATTTGACCTTAGCTTCGGACTGCTTTAGAAAAAAATTTTGGAGGCATTGAAATGCTGCTGACTGTTTATCAAGAGCAGTGACAAATTACTTAATGAGACCTAAATTGGTGTACAGCGATGGCATAAGTACTTTATGAGGTTCTATCAGCGGCTCTCACTTACATTGCGATAATGTGCCTTAGTGTCACGGTTGTCCCAGAGACAGAGAAAATAAGGAAACTTTGTGAAACCTCCTCGAAGACCCATGGGGAATGTGCTATCATTTTAAAGTCACCGATGACTATCCATACTCGTCATACTTTAATGCACTCATCAACTTTTTGAAACTGGTGTAGTCCTCTTTGAGATATACAGAGTGGGGGATTAGGACAGACAGGTAGTTGTTTCCATGTGAAGCAACTCAGCTTTAAGTCTCAGGGATGAACTGCCTATGAATAGACGCCATTCAATAGGATTACATGCAGGATATATAGCCTGGAATAGACCGGAACATTGTTGCAGAAGCACGGCTCACCATGCTGATTGAAGAAGTTGAAGAATTTTTTATGCCGCTTCCTCTGATCCGTGCTATCATCAACCAAGTTATGCTATCATCAACCAAGTTCCACTGTTTGAGCCTAGATATCAGAAGCTCAGCTTTAGATTTTGTAATACCTGAGGTAATTAAATTGTAATTCCTTAATTCCCTAAATTCTCTGACCGATGCCACCTAGAAGGAGTCGGAATAGGCAGATAGGGGCTGTGTGGTACTGGGGCGATGGAAGAAGGTATGTCCAGATAAACAATCTGAGGGGCATTTTTGTCGGCGAGATGATTTTTTGGGTTTGCAAGGCAGAAGTAGCAGTTGCTTAAGTGCTCCGTTGGCTCTCGCCAAATTTGAGGGATAGAAAACTTCATGGCTCGATTCTCTCTTCTTTACCAACATGTAACATAGCACTTAATAAGACACAAGAATTATAGCCGAATCTATCAGCTGGATGCAAACAACCTCTTGATGCCATATTAAATACTTAACTTTTCTTCAACTACGAATCGTTATCTTTTTAGTCTGCAATGCGTATTGGAAACGAGACAGTGCTTTTATACTTGTACAGATACTTTTAGAACGTTCTAGAAAGTTCCAAGAGTTTCTTGAAAGTTTTGGAAGTTTCTTAAACGTTATAAGTGTTTAAGAGAATTAAAAGAAACATCTGGACAACTCTAGCAATTCAAGATTATTATAGGAGGAAGCTCGGCATTGAAAGCAAATTGAGAGTTTTTTCGAAAACACGCGATTTTTCAAATTTTATTGTTCCGGTCACAGAAGCAAAGTTTTTCTAGAATAACACCAATTTCCTTTCTGTTCTAGATCTAACGGGTTAGGAAAACACACTTTCAACCTAGGAATAGAACAAAAGTGAACTTTTTGTTATATAGTGTTATTTATACAGAACAACATGTTCATAATGTATTCAGAGGTGTATGCCTAAATAGGGAAGACGATTGCTTTTTCTACAATTGAGTTACTAGAAATTAACAAGAAATTATTAGATTATATAATACATTTATATATTTTGATGAGGAGTACTACACCAGGCACTTCTATACTGAAAGAAGACACTCGTGTGTCCGATCATTCGTCTATTACAAATTTCAATTTATGAACGCTAACATTGAACGAGTTGACTGATTCAGCTCTTATGGCGTTTAAAGGTAGCGTATTCCAAACATTCACGATGCGATTAGTGAAGAAATTTAATCTTTCTTTACCGTTTGACGTTCGAGTCGAAGATAATGTCCACGTAAATTATATTTGTAAATCGATTGTGCGTAGACTTGAGGGTTATCAAAAATAATTTGATCAATACCTTTTGAAATTTTAGACTGTTGAATCAGATCACCTTGAACTCTCCTTTCTTTAAGAGTAGTTAAGCCGAGATGAAAGAGTCTTTCTTCATATAACAAATGCTTTATTTCTGATATTGTTTTATTTGCTTTATGCTGTACTTGTTCTAGAATAGCAATCAAGCATCGAATAAGTTTATTTGATTATGTAAAATTCAAAATCGTAAATTTCCATCTTTAATGTTATAAAACTAGACAATGAACTCCCAAACAACATTGATACACTACTCAATTTAGTCATGTGGTGAGCAATGAGATGTTTACCCATGTAATTGATGATAATGAATATTAAAGCGCTCAGATTTTAATTGCATTTAAAAAGCTTGTAGACTTCTTAGTTGATTTAATTAATTTTTAATCTTGCTGTAAATTATCCTTCGGATATTGTAAAGATGCAAATTCATTTTTGACAGAAAAAAAGTTTAAATAACAATATCAGACTTATGAAGCATAGAATGCATGAAACTATTGCAGATTTGAATTTAGCAGCCTCGAAGTTCTACAAAAAGATTTATTGAAAACCATGGTTAATACTTTATTACAAAAAAACTTGACATACTAGCTACTTTTAGCCACTATCTTGATATAAATTTACTTTTTTAGCCTAAACCTTTGCTTTTTTAATCTAAATCATTCTGTCACATTTCGACAGAAAAAAACACTTTTAAAAGTAAAAATTTTAAAAAATGTTTATTACTTGCCCAACCTTTATATTATTTTTGTATTACTTATTATATTTCAGATTTGTCGGAGAAAATTACCTGATATCTTCATTAAGTATTATTAAAATCATCCAAAAGTAAATATAAATCAAAAAGTCTCCATAAAAGTATTATTGTTAATAAATTTGACTGTACTAGATATCCCATAATTCCTGTTCAAAATATTTCAAAATAGAATAACTTTTAGAGGGTTTTGGCTTAACATTATTTTAAAAGTAAAAATTGATATTAAAATAATTTAATTATATATTATGTAAAAATAAATGAAAACAACGCATTATTAGCAATGCGGCCGCTTCAAACAGCTGATATCTGGTAAGCGTTGTTTTTTTGTTAGTAGATTGTTCGTATTTATCGAGGCGTGAAACTGTGCTCAATTTTTTACTTTTTTCAAATATTTATTTGATAAATAATTGAGTTTTAAGAAAACGTTAAGATGTTTACTGCTTTTAGCAATGATTTTTTTTCCTGTACATAGTGTTTTGCAATTTAATTTTAATCAAGTTCTTTTATATTTCCGTTCTTTATAATATTTAAGCGAAATAATAACTTTAAATATATCGACACTGAACAAATGAAATGAGATGCGATTACTCTTATGTTTTATTACTCTATGTTGGATAACTTCGTCTCAGTCCTTCAAATTGTCAAAAAGTAAGTTAAAGGTATTTGATAAAATATGACACAAAATAACATTGTTTCTTATGTAGAAAACATGTTGCAATACTTGATATTGTTCTTAAAATCATTTCTTATAACTTTTAGAATTCGAGTTCCTTGGCTGTATTTTTAAATCACCTGCACTGAACGAAACAATCGTAAGCTTGTTTCCGGAAGTTGCAGCTAAGAGGAGCGACTATCATAAACACGCCCGCGATGTCAAGTGCATGGACATTTCAAAGAGAAAAAACAATGAATTAGTTGGGCTCTACAAGAACACGTGTTTGAACGAAAAAAAGTTATCGAACTTATTGCGTTTTATGAAAAAGAGCTTCCGTAAAAGTGACTGTAAAAAAAAACATATACAAGTTTACCGCGTGCGTAAAATGTAAAGTTCATTTGGTACATAAAGTATAAAATTTATAACGGCCTCTATAAATTATTGCGAACGTAGAATGAAGATACAAGCCTATTTTTATTTATTTAATTATTTTAAAAAATGATTGAAACGTATGCAACATTATTTGACTTTAAAATAATAATGCTTTAAAACGTGTTACGGCAAATCTATAAGTACTGAAATTAAATATACTTTTTAAAGAAAATTACAAAACAAATATTTTTTACTTTATTTTTAGTTGTTAAAACATTTTTACTTTGAATTGATGGGCGCGGTACCTAAAACAGACGTCTTTTTAACCTTCAAAAGACGTCCAAAAAGTTAGAAAAATGTTCAAAACGTCAAAAGACATTTAAAAGACGTCTTTTTTACGTTCTGTGCCCACTGGGTTTGACTTTTTTTTAAATACTTTTGTTTAAATGGGAATGGCCTAACTGCTCTAATTAGAAGTAACGTTTTAACAGCAGACTTAAAGTTATTATTATTTCAGACTAACTCATTCAGTGCTGGATTAAACATAGACCAGACTAGGCCTTGGCCCCCGAAGATTAGAGGCCCCTAAAATTGGATGTTTTCAAATTTTAAAATCTTTATTTTTTTATTTGATTAATATTTAGACAAGTTTTATTGTCAATTAATCAGTAATAAAATTAGTGACTAATAATCTAATTGATTAATGGTCTAATTTTTAATTATTTTTCCTCTTCATTACTGCATTTAAACATATTTCTGAAACTTTTTATCAGCGCATCATTTTTTTGTAAAATACTTTTTAAATTTTAATTAAAAGAAAAATAAAAAAAAAACACTTTATGAAAAAATGGAGTTAGAATCAGTTTTTCTAAATCCGATACCGAAAGCATTAGTGCAAAATAGTTTTTAAAATCTAAGTACGCAAACTGGCGTATGTACGCCAAACGGTTTTCAATTTTTGTTCAAAACTGACGTTAGTATGAAGCAAACTATTGCTAGAAAATTAATTAAGTTTACATTAGGGAGAGTGAAAAAAGAACATATAAATATAAACATATAAATATAAACATATAAATATAAACATAAATATAAACAAAACCTTTTCTTAATACTAATCAAGACTTTTAATTACTATAAACCTCTTAATTTCAGCTCAAATTCTAAAAGAGTTGAAGTCTGTTGGTTTCATAATCGGAGAGTATAGTAGGTGTAGCTGCAGTTCTCCGTCATACATTAAAATGCATTTTGTGATCATATTTGCGCTATGATGGTGGGCGTTGATGTGCTACAAAAAAAACTACATACTGCTGATTATAACTCTTGAGTCTTTCAATTACACATTTCTTGTAAGTTTTTGTTATTGTCACTTGGAACATGTGGAACCCAGGATCAAGGCCGACGCGATAGGGGTGTGTGGGGGTGTCACACCCCGCCCCCATCAATGATTTTTAGTCGGCAAATTAGGCCTTTAGTCGGCAAATGTCGACCCTTTTGTTATAGATTAGTCGGTAATATTGACAGCCGGCAAATGTCGTCATGGCAGTTAGCAAATTTTGGAAAACGAGGACCTTTTTTTTTTTCTTTCGGCAAAACGTAATGGCACCCCCCCCCCCCCACGTGACACCTACTCGCGCCGGCCCTGCCCAGGATCTATACTTTTAAACCTTTTATTTAATGTTAAGATGCTTCTTTATAGCAGTGTGAGATAAATATATTTTTCTTTATTGTTTGAAACAAGATTTTTGACTTTTGAATACTAATCATGACAGTATCGAGTTGATCATAAGAAAACTTTATTGAGAAAAAAATAAAATAAAAAAGCAAAACTATTTTTATTATTATTTAAAAACAACTGTTTTAGTAAATAGTAACTTCAAAAACTAAAAAAAAAAAAGCAGAAAGCAGAACTTTGGTTTTTCAGGTCTAAAAAAGATTTAAAAAAAAAATTAAACACAGACGAATATATTAGAAAACACAGATTAGGGAAATGTTTTATAAAACCCTGAGGCGAATAAGAGCAAATTATTGCATTAGGCGAATTAATGCGTATTTTTTTATTTATTTCTAGCTTAAATAAAAGATGAAAATAATAAAACATTACACATCCAAAAATAGATGTGTGTTAAAATACGTAGTCTATGTTACAAAACGTAATCTATGTTACAAAATATAATACATGTTACAAAAAGTATGCTACAAAATGTAGTGTACGTTACAAAATGTAATTTATGTTACAAAATGTAATGTATGTAAAGTCATATATTACAAAATGTAATATATGTTAGAATATGTAATATATGTTAAATATATAAAGTATATTAGAATATGTAATGTATGTCAGAATAGGTAATGTATTAATATAAATTCTTTTAATGTCGAGAGTGCAAAATTGTGATCAATGGGTGGTGATGTGTTAATAATGGGTTAAAGAAAAAAAAAATTGTATTTTTTTTTTCTTTAACCCATTATTAACACATCACCACCCATTTTCTATTGTAATTAATTAACTGAAATCGTATTTTTCTAAATGTTTGATAGCGTATTTATTATTTTTTTCACCATTGTATGATAAAGACCGTTCAAAAGTTATTTTTATAATACATTCTTTGTTTCATTCTTAGACCATTAATTTTTCATAATATTATCGGTAAGTGTAAGAAATTACACTTTAATTTCTTAAAATAAAATTTTTGACAAGTTTTTTTTATTATCAATTTCAAATGGCAACAATAACAAACGATGCTTTAAAACCCACTTTAAAAACATTATAAATCAATATAACATTAAATATTTTGATTTTAAAATCAAGAAACTAAAACTATAACTTTTAGATCTAAATTCGGTATACCGAATTTAGAACTAAAAGTTATAGTTTTAGTTTCTTGACTTATTAATTTAATTATTAGATTATCAAACTATAGTTTGATAATCTAATATATATGAATCGCTAACTTAAAAAAGGGGACTGGTTATGTGAATTTTTGCAGGACATGTCCCCATTTTCAAGTTAGAGACTCATTTATTATTTATATGAATATGTATATGAATGAAAACTTTTCTTGTGCTTTATACACTTGACCATGTATGTATGTATTTGATTTTTATAAGATTTTTAAATTTACGGGCAGTTCTCGATGAAGACTTGATGGTCTTCTACGAGTGTCCGTCTTTCTTTTTATTTGTTAAATCAAATACTTGTATATTTTTTGTTTATTTATATTTTCTAGTTGTAAAAGGATTTTTAATCTTAACGATTTCATTTATTTGTGTAACGACTTTTATACTTTGTATAAACTTTAAGTTTCAAGTTCTTTATCAGCAGTTCTCTGTAACAAGACCTAATGGCCTTCTCTGAGTATCCGCGTTCTTTACTTATTTTTGATTTATTTATTTATACGATATATTCACTTGTAATTTTTCTCTTGTATATTTGTATTTGTATCTTAAACATTGTGTTAAAGAAAAAAAATAAATACGGAAACTCTAATTGTATGAAAAAGCTTAAGAATAAATGTATGAAGGTGTTTAAAAAAAATAAAATACGAGAATTCTCATATTTTATTTGGTAATTTCATTTCTCTGAGAATTTTCATATTTTATTTTTTATAAAACTCCCTCGTGCATTTATTGTTAAACTCCCTCATACAATTAGAATTTCCGTATTTATATTAGATTTACCACAAACAAATCTAGAACACTTTTTGATTTATATTAAATCTAAAACCAAGAACTTTTTTTTATTTATATTAAATAAAGCCGAGAGCATTTTTTGATTTATAATAAATTTGAACTCAAAAACATTTATTGATTTGTTTAAAATCTGAAGTTAAGAACACTTTTTTATTTATAATAAATTTGAGTTAAATAACTTTGAATCAACAACAATAATATTTTAATAATTATTGAACCATTTATTTTATTTATTATTTCATTTCAAAATTTAACGAATAGCTGTAGCCATATAACTAATTGTATAGTTATAGATAACAAATAGAGTTGAGCTTTTTTGGTAAAAACAATAAATGCACGAAAAACATCGATGTACAATATTGTAACTTACTCTGTGTTACACTTAAAACATTTTTATATTTTACTATTTTAACCTTACTTTAAGCGAAAAGCTTAATTCTCATTAGTACACAGCGTAAGATACAGTATGGTAAATCGATGTTTTTCTTGCATTTTACCAAAAATTTACCAAAAAGCTCAACAATAACAAAAGTATTAACTTAAATAATCTTTCGATATAAGAAAAAAGATAAAGGAAAAATAATAAATAGTTAAAAATGATAAAAAGAGAAAAAAAGATCATTAAAGCTAGAATTTTCTTGTAGTTTTATTCTTTTTTTATTGAATCACAATTAAATTTTGCAGTAGAAAAAACATTTAAGTTGCCTAGTAACCTTAATGCTTCATTGATTAAATGTGTAAACTAAACAGCTTCCTGCTGATTGCAAATTGGTTGTTAGAAGGAATACCGTTTAATATTTTTTTTAATTTTATTAAATTTTTATATTTGCTGGGATTTTTTAGAAATATAAGTATTCATAAATGTACAATTTGCTTTCCTCGCCATACTTTGAGTAAGAATTGGATTAATGAAAATATTTTCAATGAATAATATTATGCTGCAGTACTAAAGTTGATAAACACTTGCATCTTGTATATTTATGCTATTATTTAAGACAATAGGATGAAATTACCCGGAGAAGGGGCGATGGACATTGATATTGAAATGGGTGCCATGGAATCAGATCTTGACCCAACATTAACTTCTTTTCAGGCATCTGCAATTATAGCAGTATGCGCAGCAGTATTAATTGGTAACGGATTTGTTTGCGCATTGAACTGTTTTAAAACCCGAGCGCAAGGGTTTTATTTAAAATTTGTTCTTATATCCGCAGCAATGAACATGACAGCATCACTTGTTTGTATGCCTTTAATGGCTTCTTGCTTAATACAAGCGGAATGGCGATTTGGATATTTATTGTGCAAAATGACTGGAGTAATATGTTTCAGTAGTATAATTGTGACAATGTTTTTTTGTATATTGGCATCTCTTAGCAAATGTATTCTGTTTAGTAAAACATTGTTTCCAAAGCGTGGAATAAGTTTAATGACAGAACGCGACTTTATTATTATTTGCTTAGTGCTTGGTTTTGTAGCATTTTCATCGTTAGTGCTATTTTTACTTGTTGATTATAAAAAAATGCGTCAAGATCCACAAAGAATGATGTGTACTTATACCAATTCTCCTAATATAACTGGTTTTCGTATGTTTTACGTTGCGTATTCTATTTTACTTACTTTTGCAGATTTACTTTTAGTTATACCGTTTTCATAGCATTTCATAGCGTTGCAAGAACATTTAGTAATGTTGCTTTTATTGCAAGATTTTTTAATAATTTAAAAATGTAAATATGTATATAATTAAAGTTTGTTACATATATATATATATATATATATATATATATATATATATATATATATATATATATATATATATATATATATATATATATATATATACATATATATATATATATACATATATATACAATAATTTGTATAAAAAAAAAAACATTCACAATAAATTAAAATATATATATTTTAATACAATTTATTTCATAAGGTTTTTTACTATACTATAATAATTTACTATACTATAATAATGTAAAAAGCTAACCTGTTTCTAAGCGCAACGACCATTTTTAATCTTTGGTTTGTGTTTTGGAGAAAAGAAGTTTATAATATATATATATATATATATATATATATATATATATATATATATATATATATATATATATATATATATATATATATATATATATATATATATATATATATATATATATATATATATATATATATATATATATATATATATATATATATATATATATATATATAGAAGAGATTCTGTTATCTGAAGTTACATTTTTTTTCTCTTTTCTACAAATACTATCATCTTTAGTTCCATCAAACAAGACTCATTTTCTCTTGACTCGTCATTAAGCCAAGTCACATACTTTTACTAAATTTGTCCTTGCATGCTTTAAAAACTTTTATGGCTCTAGTTTTTTTTTCCCACTTCAATGCTTTGGAACTCTCTCCTATCTTCATGTTTTCCTGACTCATACAATCAGCAATTTTTCAAATTTTTACGAGGATAAAAATATAATCATTGAAAGAGCACTAATATTAAAAGGAACCAGAATCTTCGTGAACAAAGATTTTAGTTTCACAACTCGAAACATTCGTAAATAGGGTTTTTTTACGTAATTTTTGACCGTTTTAGACCAATTTCCCCTCCATCGTCCCAACATCGTAACAAGTTCCGTATAAGTCGTCACAAAATCATTAACCTTCCCCCCTCCCTAAAGCGTGACGTTATTATGGACGACTCAAAGACCTTTTTAATTAGGTTAAGCTATATCGTTAAAATGGCTATTATGCTAAAGTTGTATACAAACTTATTAAGTAACAACGATGTTAGTTCTACTAGCGAAAACAAGTAAGTGTTTTGATTGTTGCATCTTCTTTTTTTTTTAATATTTAAAATTTTTTAAATTATATAAACAACAAAAAAAAAATTACGACATTTTTTTTCAGAAGAGTGATTTTAAAAATTTATATTTAGATCGTTTCGAGGACAACTTTTTAAATAACCTATCCTAAGAAAACTTAAACATTTTTCAAGAAACTCAAACGAACTTAATTTACACACCATATATTGATCCTTTTGATTGATAGCAATAAACAATGATTGTTTTTTTTCTGTTTTGCACATAAAGATAGAAATATGCAACAGAATTATAAAGTATTTTAAACTAGACGTTTGACGTCACATCTTTTACTCTTGAATAAAATAAAACTAGCTGTCTGAACCAATGATATATATATTAACTAGATGTCTAACTTCCAAAAAAAAATGAAGCACATTTTTTTTTCCAACCAGCATATGATTGGCTAATAGCTTTTTTTGCTAACCAGCATCTGATTAGTTAACAGATATTACGGAAAGACGAAAAGCAAAAATAAAATCAAAACAAAAAATATTTGTATCAGAAAATGTGTTTAAAAGTTAGTCAGGTTGGAGTGATTTTGTGAGATGCTTTAGTTTTGGATAATTTTATAAATGTAGGCTAAAAGTAACGTCAGTTACTTTTAATTTGCTATTATAAAAGATAAGCTGGTAATTTTAGTTTAAAGTAAAAAGATTTTGAACCTTCGTAAAATATTTTAAGTATATATATTTCAAATATTTACATTTTTATACTGAGACATAAGATTCGTTCTAGATTATATCATATATAATTTAATGTATATATATATACATTAAATTATATATGATATATATATATATATATATATATATATATATATATATATATATACATATATATATACATATATATATACATATACATATATATATATATATATATATATATATATATATATATATATATATATATATATATATATATATATATACATATATACATATATATATATATATATATATATATATATATATATATATATATATATATATATATATATATATATATATATATATATATATATGTATACGTATTACTGCTTGCATATATCCTCGCGAGAGTGCTCGATGAATTAAAGTAAATTAAAATGATTTAAATTAAAATTAAAACAGAGCTGTATTTATATTTACATATTATTTATAAATAAAACTGGATATTTTTCACAACTATTAGTTTCATGCTAAATGCAATCATTGTTTTCTAATGATATTATATATATATATATATATATATATATATATATATATATATATATATATATATATATATACATATATATATATATATATATATATATACATATATATATATATATATATAAATATATATATATAAATATATATATATATTCAAATGATATTATATATGATAAAGTTTGGGATGTGTGTGTGTGTGTGTGTGTGTGTGTGTATGAATTTAGAAAACAAGAAAGATTTATTTTTAAAAACAATACTCTTTATTATTTAGAGTAACAAATAATAAACATGGTTATTAATTGCTCAGTTTACAACCGTAAAAGCAGATTTGATAAAAATAGTTTAATTTCTTTTCACAGATTCCCTTAAATTGTTGAAATTTTATGTAAAAAATGGGCAACAGCTAAATGTTTACAAACTACACCTAGTAAGTATAGTAGAATCTGCAGTAAAGATTTTAAAATAACAAACGGAATCAGCTATATAATGATGATACATCACACATTAAAAAAACAATTTTTTCTATCTCGAATAAAGAGGTAACAGAGCCTCAAATTACAAATACTATTAAGAAAAAAATACTTAAACAAAATTCTCCAAAAAAACTATTACTTAGAAAAAAGATTAAAATATTAAAACAAAAGCTTAAACGAAAAGATAACAAAATTGCTTCACTTGCATAAAGGAAAGATTGGATTACGGCAACTGTCCAATAAGCTAGTTTTGCTCAAAGGTTTATAAATTTTACAAAATATTCAATAATATTTGTATGCTATTTATGCCAAAAAATAAAATTATTTCTTTAAAACAAAACTTTTATTATTATTGAAAATTCTTTAACTGTAACTGTAAACTGTAAGTTACAGTTTTTTGAACTAATTTAAATTTTTTAATTAAAAACCTACAATAAAAATAAAAATTTATATCTATTTATATCAGCGACACTTTTGATTTCTTTCATAAGGGAATATGTGTTCTTTTATAACAATAACTCAAAGGTTTTCAACAGGTTTTTAAGTTACAGTTGCAAAAGTCAAAAACATATTTTTTTGCCAACATATATTTATATAATGCTAAGTAAAAATGTAATATCTTTGTATTATATAATAAATTCTAACTTTCTTTATCTACTAACGCTTTTAAATAGCTGTTTTTAAATAACAGTCTATAAATAAATATGTTCAACATTTAAAAGGTTAACATAATCAGAATGTTTTTTTCTTTGCTGCGGCTACCGGCTTTAAAACCTGCTTTATATTTTGTTACTGAATTTATGCGAAGTTAAACATCTAGTTATTATATATCATTGGTCTGAACCCGTAAAATACGGGTATTGGTAAGTCTTTTCTACACCGAACAATTCTATACTTATTTCAATATTTTTTAGTAAACGGTATAAACGCAGGTAAATCTGTGCAGCAGGAAAGCAGGAACTTCTGCATTTGATTTAAATATTTCTATTTTAAATAAAATATAATTTAGGTATAAAAGATTACGATATTAGAAATACTAAAATGTCAAAATATACAAGTGTTTATCACAGAATATACAGTTGTAACACATTAAATATACAAGTATAACATATATCATAAAATAGAGTATGACATTTATTACAAAGTACAGAAGTATAACATTTATTACAAATTATACAAGTATAACATCCAGCATAAAATATATACAAGTATAACATTTATTGCAAAGCATTAAAAAAAAATTTTCTTTCAATTTTCAATAAAATGATTTTTAAAGTTACCTGCTTTTTTTACCTTTTTTTTTTTACTATATTATACTACATATTTGCTTTATTTGCTTATACTTTGTTATTTTTTTCTTCATTGAATGACGAGCAGCAGTCTCAAATAAAGACATAACTCCAGCTTTTGTTAATGCTGAACATTCAATAAAACCTTTGGCATCAATTTTTTCTGATGCTAACAGTCCTTCTTCTAAAGTAAGAGGTTTTTTGTTGATATCTTCGAGGTCACGCTTTAAATCGTCGTTATTTCTCAAGTCTTTTTTGTTTCCACAAAGTATTATTGGTACACCAGGGCAATAATGCTTAACTTCTGGAGTCCATTTTTGTAAGACATTTATGAGGCTATCTGGATTGTCAATACTGTAACAAATGATAACAACATCAGTATTTGGGTACATAAGTATTCTTAACTGGTCATACTCCTCCTGCCCAGCTGTGTCAAAAAGTGCTAATTCTACCTAATAGTATACATAAACATACACATACATTGCACTAAATATCAAAATTAATCAGCTTTAACCTAAGCATTACATGGTTAAATATGAGAAATATTTTTTGTATACAGGGTAGCTTATTTTATTTGTACATACTTTTAATGAACATTGCGTCTGTGAAGTGATAAAATCAATTATTATATAGAAACCAAACAACTTTTATATAAAAACAAACCAAACAATCATTACATAGAAACCAAACTCTTAAAAATTTCAATAGTCAAGCTAAGTTATTTAAAAATTTTAAGTAATGTTTTAGTGCCGGTTGTCGCTTCCAATATCTGAATGTAACTTATAAAACTAAGATCGTGGGAATAAATGTTCACATGTCTGCTAGATTATTATGCTTAGATTTAGAATTTTTTTTTTTCACATTTCGTTTATTTATGTTGTGCTAAAAAAATAGACAAATCTTTCTTTTGAAGCTGAATTTTTTTTATTATTTTGATATGTCGTTGATGACTTTGATATTAAGGTTAGTTTTATAAAAAAATCAAATTTTATCTGAATTTATTATATATATAAATAATGAGCATATTTTATGTATTTGTAACTTAAACTTTTGTCACAATGGTTTGTTTTAAAACATTAACTACTTCATTAAAATACTACTTAAAAATATCTATAGGGCTATTTAAATATTACCAAACAAAAAAAGTTTATTATAAAATTAAAGTAAATAATGTTGTGTAACATAAAATCAGTTTCCGTGTTTGTTAACTAAAAAGGTAAAAATAATTTATGAAGTGGAAGTGGAACTGCTTCACATTATCTCTGATGATGTTTAGTGAGTAAGTTTCTTTATATACTTGTATATTTGTGTTCTGTGAAGAGCTCTGTCGAGGTGCTTGTTCACCTGTAAGTCACTTTATATAAATGTTTGTGTTTTAATCGAACCTCTAGCATGGTGTTCATCCATTTGTAAGTCACTATGTATATATGTATGTTTGTATTTAGTCGCCTGTATGTTCCTGTATGTTTATTGTTACTCTGTGATAAGACCATGAGGACTTCTTGGGGCACCTTAATCAACTTAAAAAAATAAAAAAAATTTATTTGATTATTAGTTTTATTTATAGCTGCCTATTATCATTAGTTTAACTCATTTAAAATTTTCGGATTTTCCTTAAAAGAGACTGTAGTAACCTTAACTTTAATCAACACAAGATAGTGGTGCTGTGTGAGCTATTAGAAATCCATTAACTTTTTTGCAAAGGCTACAGATTTGTTGCAGAGTAAGAATTGTGCAACAAAAGAATGGGTTATGAAATAAATGGGAATATAATGAGATAAGAATGGATAATGATTGGGAAGATAAAATAAAACAAATAAATAAAACCTTCAATTGTTGCTTTGCATAAGTTTAATCACACTCTACTATTTAAGGCTTTGTTACAACCTTGTCTGACCGATTTAAGGGCTTGTTGCAGAATATCAAGATTTGCTGACAGGTGAAAGAACCAAGAAGAACCCAACCTTTTTTTCACTGTTTTACCTTATGGCCTCAGCCTTAGATCTTAGCTACTCATTACTTTGGCTGGAGGAAGATCATCCTGGATATATATATATATATATACTATATATATATATATATATATATATATATATATATATATATATATATATATATATATATATATATATATATATATATATATATTCCATTTTTAACTTACGCTACATTACACATGGAATAATTTTATCAAATATTTACCTATTTAAACTGTAAGTTAAACTTTTAGCTATTTTGTATGAAATCTGTTAGTCTAAAGAATAAAATAAGCTAAAAAGTTTTGAGTCTGGTCAAAAGAGGGCAACCTTACTACTGAAAATACCACTTAACTTACGTTACACGAAGAACAAGGTAAAAAAATTAATTCAACTTTTAGGTCAGATTTCTGCGAATCAGTAAAGCAGTTTGTATTAGAAACTTTCACAAGATATTGATAATTCTATACCAATTTAAAAAAATATATAAAAACTTATCAGAGGTGACCGGCTAAGGAAAATAAACTAGTTTTTTTGGTACTTTATTTAACTTACATTACATCACTTACGTTACCGAGCAATTATTATTATAGATTTTTTATATCTACTATTAAGAGTTATAGTTACGTAACAAAAAAATTACTAAGGTATTGAACTCATTCATTACAAACAATTAACAAAAGAAACTGGTGGCACTCTTCCTGAGTAATTTTTCATAACATTTAAAATATTTATTAAATTGAAAACAGTTTTCCTGCAAGACCAAGAACAACTTTAAAAAATTATTTTAGTATTACAACTTTATTAATAATTATTTGAGCCATTTAAATATCTTTGGTTTGTCGAAGTTTTTACTTACACTTCTTACATTAATGCGTATTGCCTTATTTTCATTAGGTTAAATTTTGAAAATTCTGCAAAGTATTTCAATCTAATAAAATATTTTTGACGTAAAAATTGCTATCACAGTTTAGGAGGGAGGTTCAGGTATATGTGGTCATTTGTGACAGGAGGGAAGGGGTTAAGAATTGACAAATATAGAGTGACGTGCTTTAAGGACCCCCCTTAATTGCATTTATAAACGTTTTGTCTTACTAAAACAAAAATAAAAGAGGTTCTTACAATTTTCTTGTTTGTGGAGTTTAAAATAGCGTAAGTTACTGTTACAATTTATAGCTTAAGTTATAATTTAAAGTTTAAGTTGCAGTTATAGTGTAATGAGCAAGTAACATACTAAATACTATTAAGATATTTTTTTATAATTATTTTTACTTTTGATACTTAAAAAAGTAAAAGTATAAAAGTAAGAGTAAAAACCACTAGAAAAACTATTTAATAAAAATACGTATTTAATAAATATTTAATAAAAATATTAATAATTGTACAATAAAAAAAGTGTTATTTTTAAAGAGTAAATTCGTAAGTTGATTGTTATTGTAAAAAGCTGTAAATCAACAATAAAACAAACTGCAAAGCTGTTTTAAAAATATATAGAGCTTGTGTTAATGTAAAACAACTTGGTGACGTTGTTTAGTGTTATTTTATACAGTTTATAACCTTAATAACATAAAATGCATTTAAAATAAAACGAGACAAATAAATAAAATTGTTCTAATTAATAAATTAATACCTTATCGTCATAAAACCTTTGCAATCACTGGTTTAATGTTTGCAATAAAATGTTTCTACTTTCAAACTATTTTCAAGAAACAAAATATAATTAACTATTCAAAACGTTTACAAAAAAAAAACTTTCTTCCTTATTCTTTATCCTTTGTTTCTTCAATTCTTTTATATTTTTCCAATTTCCAATTTCAATCGCAAAATTATTAATTATTAAGAGAGTTTTAAAAGACTAAAACTCTTTTGTTTAATTAGGTGGTGCATTGTTTAAAAAAAAATTGAAGTATAAAAGAAATGGTGTCGCGTTTTTTATATTCTATTTAATAATTTTTAGTTAGAAGCTTATATTATGTGTTAACAATATAAGATGTAAATAGAAACATTTGTATGGCAAACCTTTGCTAGTCTTTGAATATATTAAGTAAATTAATATAACTGATAAAAAAAAATTTGAGTAGCTGTAAGTTACTGTAGTAACTTAACTGGTTGTTTTAATTTAGTTTATAAGTAAATTTACAGTGATGTACTTCATCCTTTGAGTAAAACAAAGTAAATATAACTTTAAAAGGTTCAAGGTCATTAAAGCGAAAAACGTTGAAGCAAAAAAGTTGCTGGTTTCTATAGCATTACTAATAGACAAATTTTTTAATAAAAACAAATTTAATATATATTTTAATATACTTAAAGTAGTAAAATTGTTAATAAAATAATAATTTAAATTATTAATAATAAGTTAATTTAACGCAATTTTAAAAAAGTTTTAAAAAAAGTAAATAAACCAAAAAAAACAAAATATATGCTTAATTCGAGCCAAATATATATATAAAATATATATATATATATATATATAAAATATATATATATATATATATATATATATAAAATATATATATATATATATATATAATATATATATATATATATATATATATATATATATATATATATATATATATATATATATATATATATATATATATATATATATATATATATATATATATATATATATATACTCTCGAGTACTTAATAGAAATGGATAGGGCGGATGTTTATTAATCAGTTTTTACAAAATTTTCCCATACACCTTATGCTCATTAAGTCCCTTCCCCAACTGTTTATTAATTTTTACTTGTTATCAACAAAAAAACTATTTCTCAAAACTAAAAAAAAAAAAGAGAAAATCTTAAGAATTAAAAAACATACTAGTAACTGATAAATATTGAAACTTTTAGTGTAAATTCGGACTCCTTTTCTACTTAAAAACTCTTAAAAACTTGTTATACTTTTTTCTGTTTTAAATACTAATTAAAATTAAAAAGCCCACTCACTAAACATCATCAGCGGTATTGTGAAGCAGTTCTGCTTCCTTTTCATAAAGTATTTTTAACCTTTTTAGCTGATTTCTATCTAGTTAATTTAATTTTTAAAGTAACTCAATGATTTAATTATTTCCTTTGTTTATCTTAAAATAAGAAGAACTGTTTCAAATATTTTAAACTTTTCAAACTATGCAAAGCATAAAATAGTTAATACAAAATTGAACTATTTTATTTATAAAATAATCTATCTTAAATAAAACTAAAACTAGCCTTAGTTTTATTGTTGGACCTTTTGGACCCGGGGCTACTTTTATTTTAGAGGCATTTTTTATGTGTCACAGCGTAAAAATGACTAATAAAAAAGGTCTTCTTGATTATTTTGAGGACCCTAACATTGCGGGGTCTGGGGTCTCTATAGCCCCCCCTCCCAACCCCAACCCTTCTTAATCCAGCACTGGAAATAAGACACAAGTATATAAATAAAAATTATATTATACTCTTTGATAAATAAAAGAATATTTGTTTCCTTAT